CAAAATCACACAGAAACGTGTACCTCGTTACTAGGAGAGCATCGACTCCTCCAGACTGCAAATCAGGCCAAAGTCATTTGTGCAAAAGTCATGTAGTTTACTCAGAGCACTTCAGTATTAATATTACTGTGATAATTTGCAGGGGTTGTCTTATCTCTGAGCTAAATTCTAAGGCCCGGTTTCACAAACGTGGGCTTAGCTTAAGCCAGGACTAGGCCTTAGTTAAATTAAGATATTTAAGCAACTTTCACAAAAATGCCTTAGAAGAAAACATTACAGGAGTGCATCTTGACACAGAACAATGACACTGACATATTTTAAGATATGTCAGAGCTAGATATTTTCAGTAGAGACAGCTCAAACATGCATTTTAGTCTGGGACTAGCTTAAGCCTTGTCTGTGAAACCGGGGGCAAATGTATTTTTGTAATTATTATTAGTACATTTTTATTTTGTAGAATTTGTTTTATTTATTTTAAATGAGAAAATAATTTCAGATCAATATTTTTTTATATAATTTTTTTGATGAATAGCTGTGTAATATGCAATGTCAGTCAGCCTGTCATTATTTCATAATAAAACCCAACAGGATGGTCAGGGTGACTGGTCCATTATTCCTTCCTTAAACATTTGTCATGCTGTGTTTTGCTCACCTTTAATTCCTGAGTTAATTTTTGCACTGATTGTTGCATCCCTCCAAACTGGCCATACATCCGCTCTCTGACTTTTTCCAAAGAGTCACGTACCTTTGAGAAAAGAAGGATGGTTTTAAGTTATCTGCTTGCTGAATAGCATCAAATATCTGCTAACTAGTTAAGCAATAACTAGTCTTCTAGTTGCAAGTTACAGTTAGCTAGGTTGCAAAAGAAAAGTCTCTGCGCATACCTCTCTGATGTACCTCATCTCATCCCTCAGGTGACTGACAGACGACTCGCGTGCCATCACTTCCTGTTGGTGGCTGGTGCCTGTGCTCTGCACCACGCCATAAACTCTGGACCCGTGCTGAGCAGGCTGGTCCCGACCGATGCCATTGGTCATGGGGTGCTGGGGGAATAGGACCACAGGGCTCAGATTTCAGCTTGTGAATGTGTTTAAAAGGAGAGTGTGACACTGTTGTGTTTACAGCTGTGAAGACCAATGTCACCGAGTGCGTGTATGCCTTTTGGAACATCCTGGTTGTAAAATTAGATTGAGACTGATAGACTTTATTTGCGAGTGACACACTTTGGTATTTTAAGCATTGCTGCTGTGTTCACGATGGTTGGGATGCAGACAGTCAGAATGGTCCTCAGCAAGGGTGTCATATTTCTGCATGCCAGTCGGAAAGAATAAAAACACTCTTTTATATCCACAGGTTCACCATGAATATATGAAAAGGAACTTGAAACTTGGAATGTTGTCTTGTTAACAGTATACAGGGAAAGTACACAGAGAAAATATTTATTTCTTGACAATGCCAAGGGGAAAGGAAAGTGAAGTGAAAAAGTTGTCACAATAGCAAACCCCAGGAGCAACTACTACAGGTGAGAAGATCTCGCTCAAGGGCACAGCGATGGGGATCAATGGCCATACAATTTATTCTGGTTCTGCTGCAGGATTCTGGGTTCTGGGACCTTTTACACTGGGTCACTTATGTCTCTAAGATTTAGTGTCTAAAGAGTCATATTTCATGTTTTGCACGCCTTAAGAAAACTCTTTTGTGATATGTTTAATAAGTGAACAAACATTTTATGTGCAAAGAAAGCCCTGAAGCCATCCTGTACAGATACCCTTAAGCTCATGCTAGCTTTGCAAACAATAACACACTGAACTCAAATATCTTTTGGGAAACCAGCACCTGTGTTTTAAACTACAACACTAACATAGATAAAATTACTCAGATAATATTAATAGGTGACACAAATACATTCAAACATATACTAAAATACTGTGTCTACTATCATTCAAAAGGTTTAGGTTGGTAAATATATATATATATTTTTTTTTTAAATAAGTCTCTTATGCTAGCCAAGGCTGTGGTTATTTGATCGGAAAAATTTTGTTAAAAAATATTTTGTTAACAAAATATTGTTAAATATTATTACAATTTTATATATTTTTATATTAAAATTGTTAAATTTTTAATTTATTCCTGAGATTGTAAAGCTAAACATTACTCCAGTCTTCCGTTTTCCTATTCTAATATGCTGATTTGGTGCTCAAGAAACATTTCTTATTATTATCAACATTGCTAAATATTTTTGAGACATTTTTATTCAGGATTCTCTGATGAATAGAAAGTCCCAAAGAACAGCATTTATTTAAAATAGATATCTTTTGTAACATTATACATGTCTTTACTGTCACTTTTTATTCATTTTTATGTGTCCTTGCTGAATAAAAGTATTCATTTCTTAAAAAAAATAAAAAATCTTACCAACTCCAAATTTTGAAGATTATGAATCTTTCCATAAGCATGGGTAATAGTAATGTGGGTTTGTTTGTGTTCTCAGAAGCTGTCATACCTTGTCTTCTTGTTGAGGTGATTCTCTTCCAGGGGGTCTTTCTCTCTGCATGAGCCCATTTGTCTTTTTCCAGGAACCATTGACCAGTTTCTCACCCTGTGATATAACACATTTGACTATATAAAAATTTTCAGACATGTTGATGCTTGGGTGATACCAATGTTACAGATTGTTGAGGTTAAGGCATTATCAGAGGTTTTGCCCTTGCCAGATGTCTTCGTGCAACAATTCAAGTTCTACTTCTAAAAAGCTTTCCTGTTTATGAGAAACCATATTCCATCTCTTACATGGGTGCTATTTTCACATCGTACTGAGGTGAAAGAACACTGATGAAGTCCAGCTGTGATCACACACTCAGGGTGTGGTATTCCCCTTTCTCTTCTCAGGCCATAGTTTCTCAGAACTGTAATCTCATTCATGGCATGACCACACCTCCTCAGCGCTCCTCTCCAAAACAAAGCTCTCAGCTTCCTCACTGACAGAGACCGAATTCTATATGAGAATAACTCTTTTAGAATATAGAATGAGATGTTGAGAAAACACAATTAATGTTTCCATCTGATTCGGACTGAATGGGGAGCAACGTGTGGGAGTGGGTGGAGATAAGACAGAACAATGATGCCAGTGTTGTTCATGGCCTTCTGCACTGGACCTCACTGAACTTGACAGATAATCCACAAAAACACAAGCCCATGAGACTAAATTTGAGGTACTCAAACAGGGGAGAGTCATTTAAAATGTTGAAAACAGGACCTTATGCGTAGTGATATGAGTTATGTGTAGAGATATGTGTGGATCATTTTGGGGATTTAATTTAGCCAAATAAATCTAACAGAGAGATTAACCTTCTGGGGTGGCCATCCTGATACTACAGTGCAGCATTCTAGCTTTTAAAAAATGGTTACTTCATAATAAAATATTAAAGGGATAGTTCACCAAAAAAATTACAGTTCTGACATCAATTACTCACCTTCTTGTTGCTCCAAAACCAAACAACTTTAGATTAAGATATTAAAAGATTAAAAATTAAAAACATTCTGTCCATCCATTAAAATGCTGATGCTTAAAAAAGTTAATAAAGGCATACAGGTGTATCTCAATAAATTAGAATGTAGTGGAAAAGTTCATTTATTTCAGTAATTCAACTCAAATTGTGAAACTCGTGTATTAAATAAATTCAATGCACACAGACTGAAGTAGTTTAAGTCTTTGGTTCTTTTAATTGTGATGATTTTGGCTCACATTTAAAAAAAACCCACCAATTCACTATCTCAACAAATTAGAATACTTCATATTCATTTTTTTTAGTGAATTGTTGGCCAATTGGAAAGTATGTTCATTTACTGTACATGTACTCAATACTTGGTTTATTGAGATGCACCTGTAAAATTGTAAAATAACATTTGTAAAGGCATTAGTTTTACATGACATGATAAAAATGATTCAAACATGAAAAAAGTCTTACTGTTTTGAAACAACATGAAGGTGAGTAAAAGAGGACAAAACTTTCAATTTTAGGTGAACTATATCTTTAAATTAAACAGTTGGAAGTTACTTTTGTAGACAACACAAATAATTTTATTCTCTGCATACTATGCACCTCTACTAAAGTGCCTAACCTTACAATGACAGACAACTCTAACAAAGTTCAGCTGCATTAAACTTTCATGCTCATTTTGACAATATGTCTGTGCACAATATTAATATACAAATATAGCATATCTGTCATCTTAGCCTAAGTAATAAAAGCATGTGTTTTCCCTGTTTCATATTCTACCTTGCTCATGTAATCCTACTGATTGAATTGAACACTATTCAATGAGCTCTATTGTTGTTGTATAAAGATATGCTCGAGGGTGTAAACTAAAGTCTAGCATCTGTGTTTTAATGAACAGTATGTCTGTTTGCATGCAGTGGGAAGTGATGGTGCAGCTACCCACTCCAACTTTGCTGAGACCAGTGACGTCGTCATTCATTGCCGTTACTGAGAAATACTGGTCCTGGATCAATGTGAATTTCAGGCCTTCCTGTAATCCCACAGGTGTAACTCTGGCAATTCAGGCCACAAGTAGACTAGCATCCCACGGAGGATAGGATTACACACAGACACACCCATCTTAATTTTGCAGTGGTTTCTTGTCTTGGTTCTTTGTTATGGCAGTAATAGAATATCTTAAATGTTAAATGAAGTCTTCTCTAGTCTTCGCACTTAACTACCCAGACTGCCATTTCTCAATTCTCTTCCTTTGACCTGGTTTCACTTTTGTACAGTTATGTCTCTAATTATGTTGCAAAGGACTACATTCAGTATAAAAGGCCTCTATATTTCAAATCTATGCAAAATCCCAAATGTAAACCTTGACTATCACCCAGATACCAAATATTCATACCTGGAATGTTTTCCTACGCATATCCAAATAAGTAACATTAACATAAAGGCTAAATGAAACTTAAATATTCTCAAATATGTTGACAATGAAAACTCATTAGAAGCTCATTTAAATTCCTAAAAGTGCAGTCGCATTAGCAAATTTTCAGCAAAGTTTCAATGGGAGGAAATGTCAAGAGTCCATCATCAATAATGAAACAATGTATGAAGTACCACTCACATAAAGGTCACTTTCAAACGAAGCCGCTTTCTGTTGGCAAATTTGTGTGACAAACTTGAACTCTGTGTGGGTAGTGTGACTGTAGTGTAGTCTTTCAGCCTCACTTGAAATTCACAATAGAATTGGCCATTAGCAATTCTTCATCAGGCAGGCCTGGGTTTTGTGTTTTGATGCTGCACACAGCAAAATGGCCACAGCTGGCCCTTCCCATGAGACAGACACTGATAAAACCATCAACAGTTTTAAGTTGGCAGAGCTCCTGGATTTCTACTTCTCATTATAATACAGTATCTGGGTTGTGAAAGAGCATGATGTTCCCAAAGCAGCTCCTATCAGAGACCAAACAGGGCGGATATCAATTGAACTTCAAGGACTAAGAGCTGCAGGGTGCAAGTTCCTGGCCAAGGTACAGATCAAACCTCTCATGTACATGCAGACACACCTCTCTTGACTTCTTTCCCAGTACACCACTGTCTGTAGAAGGCCTATTGCAACTACTGTCAAATACACAAATTAATTTGTCACATAGACTAACCTGTATATGTAAACAAGCTTAAATTAACTTTACCTCCCTTGGTAAATAGGTGACTCAATTTCATGAGCTTTGTTTCGTGGGAGTCTGAACTTTGGGGGCAGGAGGTATTTATCTGCATGAAGCCTAACTTGCTTCTAAACATATAGGCTTAGTAAGTAAAGTGGCATTTAACTATGAATTCTTTGCATGTAGTTCCAAGAATGCAGGTTTATCTGCATGTTTTTTATCAGTAAAGGTGCGTGGCATGTTACAGGCTAGGCAGTATGGATCTATGATGCACAAACCAAGTGACAGACCAAAAAGAAGGACACAGTCTTTGATTTAGCTCTGTGAAACACTGACCAAACATTTCCCCTTTCTGAAATTCCATCTTGCACATGCTTAAAAAGTAAGCCTAAAGGTAAATCCTTTAATGAACCCTATAATTATTACTATTGTGTTTATTTTTGATTACTTTTGTCTATCATCTTTCATATATACAATGTAAATATAAATAAATATCCACACTACCATTCAAATGTTTGCAGCCCAGTAAGACTTTTTCATGTTTTTGAAAGAAGTCTCTTATGCTCACCAAGGCTGCAT